TGCCTGTGAAATCAGCAATGAGATTTTTTTATGCTCGTCGTGGCCTACAATTTTATTGGATAATGCGTAGATGAAATGATAAATTCTTATTCCCATAACATAAATGTTAGATATAATTTACAGTATAAATGACATCATCACAAAGGTAAAAAACCAAAAGATGATTTAAATAGGTAAATATTAAAAAAATATGGTTCTTTGAATTTAATTAAATAATAAATTAAAAAGAAAATCATTTGAATATAGTTATTTGTTTTTTTAAATTGCTTTAACTATGAAGACACCTTTACACATATGTACATATATTATGGGAAGTTGGGACCGTCCATCAAGTGGCCTCACTGAAGTGAAGGATTAGACGAAATAGACCACGAAACCTTTTATATCCTTTTTCACCCTTCGAGTCGTTATTGAGTTAAAGCTAAAATGGCTTCTGTTAGCATAACTGCATCTCTTATTATTGCAAGTAGCTCATTTAACTTGAGATTGGCTGTCAAGTCATCACCAACAACCCAATAATGTCACAAGACAGTCATCCTCCTGCTTGCCAGTGCTGGACATTTGCATAATATATACACCACTGCTTTCTTTTCTTCTAGACATAGTCTGCAAGTATCTTCTTCAATAAGACCTATCTTTTTGAGGTGATACTTGAAATTTCCATATCCAATATTTAATTTAGGTCAGCCAACTTAGGATGCTTCGCGGATAGCTAAGCTAATAAAACTTTATTGCAAATTGAATTCGAGTTAAATAAAATTAACAAGGTCCCTATTCCAGTATTTCACTAAGTCAATTTAAACCAAGACAACGAACAAGCCATAAAACAACCTGTATTATTAAAAAAAGTGCTATAGAACACTAATAGTGAACGTATTGATGTATTATAATTTAAATAATAAGCCGAGTATGTGTTCCTTATAAATATTTAATAAAAAATTTCACAGCAAATTAACAAAGCTCCAGAAAAAAGTGCAAACATACAAGTCAAGTACAGCTTTGGATCAGTTGGCTAATGAACGCTGACTCTGAGCTTCAAAATTGGCTGGGTACGAGTTCAATTCCTGGTACTTGCAGTCTCAAAAAATTCTTTTCGAATAATTATATATAAGATATAATTTCAAGACGACTGATGACGACTGTATGGTCAGTCAAAACTTCAATTAATTAAAATAATATAAAAAAGAAGTTTTGTTGTAGTTCTCTACTTTTCGAAACCTCTAAAACATTTTCACAATTTAAAAACTGTTGGATAAAAAAAATTTAATTAATTAAACAAAAATAAAAATTTTTGTAGTTGCTATTCAGTATTGTTCGAAACCTTACTATTGGATATAATAGTTTCTATTGAGTGAAATAGTCATAATTGACGTTAAAATCAAATTAAATAAAAAAATTCACGATAATAAACAAAAATTTGTACAAAAAAAATTCTAAGGAAAATTCGTTATCCTTCAATATCTCAAAAACTGCTCGCCAATATACTTTACAGATGACTATATTCTGTGCTATATCGGTAGTGGTATGCGTTGGTAAACAGATTATTCACTATTGTATTATAGAAACTATATACAACAATTGGATGAGTGGCGGTGGAGTTGGTGTCCTTGGTGTCTACTTTACTGACACATGTATGTTATGGTGTATATTCTCTTGTTTAATACATAAGTGGAGTATTAGTCCCACTACAGTTAGAGACTTGAAAGAATGTCAGTAAAATCATAAAATGTCTGAGAACATGTTAAGTTATCCGGAGTCATATTGCACATCTTTAAAACTTGTGTTAAGTACATATTAAAGATCTATAAACATATTCTCGATGTCATATTCAAAAATGTTAAAAGTTGATTAATATTAAAATTATTTTTATGTGATTATCTAAACAATTGGATTTAGCTTGTCAAAACTATTTCAACTGAACATTAAACAGTTTGTTAACATTTAAGATAAAAGTAATAAAAAAAAATCTTCTCTTTCAAATTTGTTTATATTAACTTCTACAGTCATTAGTATTTAATTTACTCACAGTAACTGAATATCGAACAAAAGAAACCCAAGTTCAAACTATTTATGTCGTGTATCTTAATACAATAAAAAGTATTTTCATAACTGCATCGGTTAACATAAAAAGATACTTCTATTGTCGGTAATGTGTGCCCATAAACTAGTATACAGGACACACAAAAACAAAGAAGGTACAAGGGAACAAAGGCACTCGAGAAGCAGACATAAATTCCAATGTTTACACGCATATATTAAAAATGCATATATCATATTTAAAAACGATATTACAACTAAAAAATGTAACAAATTTAGTAATAACAAAACGCAAGAACAAGTGCTGCAACTGGGTCTGTGGCTGAAACCGACTGATGGTGGTCTTGGCTGAAGTCGCCCAACATGCAACCGCAGTTGCTGCCTGGCATGCAAACAGTCATAAATAAGTTTGGTTGACATGTCAACTATTGTACCGCATAAAAGTTAAATATAAAAATCAAACAAAAAGAAATTGTCATAAATATCTGAAGAAGAAAGCAAACTGGCCCAAAACGATTGAAATGTGAAACCATTGAAGAGCGAAGAACTGTCAATTTTATAGCTGATCATGCAGCAAATTATGGGCACAGATACTGCGCGCGCTTGCCCTATAGCCACTGTCAGAAAGTTGTGCAAGAATTAATAAATATTTTGTGTAAATTATATCAAACGGAAGAGTATGCTTCAAGAACTCATGAAGACCCTGAGTCTAGAAGCAAGTGTGTTCCATATGTTGAATTACCAAAGCTAGACGCACTTCGTTGCGTCAATAAACTCTTCCGAACCTTGTACATATACCGCGATGTTAGGTTTTGTAGGTGTTGTCGATGTCAGCATTGGCTATAGGGTGCGCCCATTTAATAGCCAAACTGACATGCAATTTGCATAAAGTGTTGTCAGCGATAAAGCTGATCTTTCGTTATCACAAAACAAAACAAAATAAAAAAAAAAAAAAGAAAAAAGGTTCTGGCCTGATAGTAAATAGTAGGCGCGTGTGGCGCACAGGCTCCTACTACTCAACTCAACTAACAGAATGTATACAGATAGGAGTAGTATATGCCATAGGCACATAAATTTGTACAGATGACAATAAATAATGCCCACAAATTTTCTATTTAACCACAAAGTGAATCAACAACAGAAACACAGAAGAAACCGAAATGAAATTATAAACCAAAGACAATAAATATACGCTTCCTCTGCCGGCCGGCAGAACCTTACACGAAGCGCACCCGTAGCCGGTAATAGTCTTGTTTTTGTATTTGTTGTAGTTTATTGGTTATTGGTTACCTTATCAGTAATTTTGGTTTTAATTAAATGACCAGAGTCACACAGTGTGCAGGCAGGCAGGCAGGCAGGCAATAGAGCAGCCAATTCACTAAGCACAATCTACATGGTTCAGAGCTCTTAAGAGGCATTTGTTGTCTTGGATTGGCTTCATTTTATTTAAATTAGCTGCATTTGGTGCGCGTAAATGACACCGATGAACTGCTTCGATAGTCACCTGTTGATCCTTTATTGGTTATTTAATTGATTGTGTGCCTTCGATAAGAAAATTTCAGAACATTGTACAAAATTCTTTTGTAACCTGGACCATTAAAAACATTTCAATATCATAAATAAATGCAGTAAATACCTCCAATATAGAATCACTAGAATTTGTTGTGATGTACCTTGTGACGTACAACGGAAACTGTTACTAGATTGTTTATATTAATACTTTACACATTTTGTCAAAAAAATGTTTGCAATGAAATAACTTTTTGCTTTAGTTTGTACACTAAAACACAAATAATCTATTATGGATAGGTATAAATTCTAATATATATAGAAACTCATTGGTAATTGCTATCTATATTTATATATATATATACCGTATATGCTTTATATCAAATTGGGGGCTTATACGGGTCTTACTATAACGGTACGGATGGAAAATTCTTTATCAAAAAATGTTTGCAATTTAAAAATTACTGATATATGATAAATGAATGAAAAAGAAAAAGATCTCGAGAAACTTTAAAAAAAAATTATAAGATTCTTGAAAACATTCTATGTTGCAACAGCATAACTACTCAATCCATCAAATCGCAACGGCGTTAAATATCAAATTTAAGACATTTAATGGAGTGAAAACTAGTATGAACTCAAGTAAACACTCGTAAGGTAACTTAGTGTTTTCTGTCGGAAAGTTTTTAAGGATATAATATTCTCCCACATTAAAAGTGCTTAGCTATACGCGGAGCACCCTAAATTGGCTAACCTCACTAATTACTGGATATGGAAACTTCAAGTATCACCTCAAAAAGATAACTCTTGTTGAGGAAGACACTTGCAGATTAAGCCTAGAAGAAAAGGAGACAGTGGTGCACGTATTGTGTAAATGTCCAACACTGGCAAGCAGGAGGATGATTGTCTTGGGACATTGTTGGGCTGTTGGTGATGGCTTGGCAACCACCTTCAAGCTAAATGAGCTGCTTGCAATAACAAGAGATGTAGTTATGCGAACAAAAGCCTCTTTAGCTTCAACTCAATAACGACATCCGAGAATAGAAAGACGAAAAAGGAGCCAAGTCGTTTCGTGGTCTACTTCGTCTAATCCATGATAAACGGTGCGCTGTCCAAATGTCTCAAAATATATATAGCAGCGAAAATGAAAAGTGACTTTAAAACCATGTCTAAAAAGCATTCTAACTGAATTAAAAAAAAACAGGCATTTATCTCTGCATAATACCAAAGACAGACTGTTTTAAAGGGAATGGTATTAAAAATTATTTATATAAAATACCTTATGAAAAGATTAAAAATGTTCTTTGTTCTTTAATCACATCTCTATAAACCTTAACATTTTTGGAAAAAAATAAAAAATATTTTGAATGTTTATATATAAACCTTCAAGTATTTATGTCATGAAAATTTATTTATTTATTATTTTTATTAGATAAAACAATATATGTACTTACATGAAACACGGTCTATCGCTGCAACTCAAGCCTGGTTTGCACAATTTTCCATCTCCAATATAGCCTGTTGGACAGCGACCACATCTTGGTCCTGACGAGCTATCATGACAATCGACACCTGAAATAATAATAGATAGTAAAAATAAATATAACCTGAAAAATTTGAAAAAAATCAACACCAAAAACTAAAAATAATATAATATGTACTATACACAATATACACAATAGTATATAAATATATAAAGTGGTAATAACATGGTAAATACTATAAGAAATAGTAAAAGACATGGAGTTAGTTAATAAAGGTAATAAAGGGTTTATTATGGCTTTCAATATTTTGCAGCTATTGAGATTCGGTAAGTTTATAGTAAAAAGATTTGGAACTAATTCTGCAGCGGATATAATTATTATTGGAGAGTATTTTTTAATTTTTGATATATAGAATATTTGAAAATATTGTTTGAAAATATTTTGTGTTTTTTTATATCTAATTTAAAAGAAGTTCTTACGAATACACTTAAATTTAACTAAAATTTCCACATAATGTAGATTAGATTAAATTCGGTTTGAAGATGATTTCATAGCATATGTTAAGTCAATCACCTATAAGTCTGCTATAATATATATTTTTCTGATTGAAGAATTGCTAGCACACACTTTTATAGAAATTTACTTTTTTGAGAATAATAATTTTGTTTTTGAGAATATTCTTCCCATTCTAGAATTATGGTCTCGTTTTTTGTTAAGGCAAGATATTAACAGTTTAAGAATTCTTTTTCTTTCTCTAGGAAGAGCAAGAACTATCATTTAGAAATCCAAGTAATTAGTAATTAGATTTGTTTAGTGTTGATACAAATCGCCTACTTTTGCCATCAAACTTTTGCTTTTTTAAGGTGAAAACAGTATATCATAGACTCACGAATATAAATTGATATTTAAATACTAAGAGAATACTTAATGTATAAATCTATCAGGGCAAAATGGACTTTACTCTAGGACATAGGCCTTTTGGAAGCGATTATTTATTCTAAAAATTATGATTATTATCTCAACTCCACAAAAGAATGCTCGTTCACTTTTACTTGGGCTATTGAACGAATTACACGTAATAATAATAAAAAAGTTCCTTTTATTCTATAAACATATGTAACTAGAAAAACGTGTGTTCTTAAGGTAAAAAATATAAATAGCATATAAATAACATAATTATTCATAAAACCCATTATCATTATCAAAACTTAATTGTGCACAGAGATGGCGACGCGAAGCAGCTCCCACCTGCAGCACTCCAATCTGCTCTTCCGCCAAAGATTTCCTAATAGTTATCGACAAAAAATAAGCTATTGACAATAGCCTAATTACTTCGTAACAATCTCAACAGTTCTAAATGATTACTAACAGAGTTATTTTCTATAACATATCAAATATCCTCTCCATCGCTACTCTTACTGCAGCAAATTGAATTTCAGAAAGAAAGTGATCGATTGTTGAGTAAATTAATTCCCACGACTTTCTCTCTCCAGTTTTGATGCATTATCTCTAACCATATTACAGTGCTGTAGCTCTTATATGAAACATAAACAAATTTTACAACACAATAAATTTTTTAATTTGCTTTCTTTCCCAAATATATTTTCGAAATTTATAATTCACCAAAACCAATGTGGCTGACTATATCTCATTTTCTGTTTACTCTTCCGCAATACCTGAAGCAATATTTCGCAACCGCTTCGCAGAATAGCGGATCAAGTACATGAATCATGCATATTTAATTACACTACATTGCACATACCTGGATAACAAGGATTCGAAGTGCGGCAAGTTGGTTCCACACGTATGTTATTGCTGGGTTCTTTGCAGCCTGCGCAGTTTTCGAGCAACATTCGTAAGTAGGCAATCTCCTGTCGTTGGTGGGCGATATCTTCTCGAAGCAATTTCACCAATGCCATTAAGTCGCTGAGCGATTTTGCGAGGGCGTCTTTAATAAAAAAAATATATTAAAAAAAAAATAAAAAAATAAAAAAAAAAAAACATAAAAAGAAAAACATGAAAAACGTACAAAATACGAAAGGGGAAATATAAATAAAAAATTATAAAAAATCTGTTAAAAAATTATATAAATAATTTTGTAAACGCAGTTATATTCATAAAGCACCCAAATACAACAAAAATATAAATATTTTACAGTAGAAATAAAGTATGCCTGAACGGCAGTTTGGCATTGGATATAGTTTGTATTGCCATAATAACGCTGATTGCAGCTTTATTCCCACGCAACATTACGCTGCTGTTGCAAATGCATTTAAAGTACGCAAATTTATCTTACTAGCAACTAGGCTTCAGATTGTGCCACAGCTGCTGCGAAGAGCCCCGACAACTGGCTAGTGTGCCATTGCGGGCTGTGAGTAAGTAAATTTGCCAATGTTTACGTGTCGTCATGGGTGTATTTGCTTACCTTCACAATCTCCGTGCATGACGGGTATGTCACCGCGACGTTCAATGTCCAATGAAGTTTCCTGTTGGCGGTACTGTTCATTACTGCTACTGCCAACCTGCGGCTCATGATTAAACCAGTTGCGCACATCACGTTTCTTATTCTTTTCTGCAATAATGAAACAACAACAACAAAACAAAGAAAGTATATATTAAATATTTGAAGTGCGTTCAAGTGACATTCAAGCGCAGATCCATACCACGTTCCGAAATTTTGTTCTTCAACATGCGTTTATTGCCGCGACGATGGAGTATGCCCTTTTGACAGTTGGCACGCTGCAAGGCATTTTCAACGTTCCCATCAAAATGGAGTGGGTATTTACGCTCACGAAACTATAAAAATTATTGTTTGCAGTAGAAAAATAAAATACATAAAAACACATAATATAGTTAATTAAATATGAAGACGTTGTTATGAAATATATTAGAAAGTCTAAAATTAATTATGTACTACTTATGTTATGTTATTAAGGCAATATTTTTTAATTAAGCTAATTTAATTTTAATTTACACTAAAAACCAAAAACAAATATTATCCTATATTAATCCATTCAGAATTAAGAAACTAAATAGGAACATAATTGATAATATTATCTCGTTAACATTTACCTAATAGCGAGTTTTGATGAGATCATTTTAAACTAATGATAAGTTGACATTAGTTGCACAGTTGAACAATTTAGCAAATTTGTTGAGCTGCACATTTTTCCAAAAATCCTGAGTCGAAGATGCAGGTCAATAATAATTCCAGAATACAAATATCAGACAAACCATAACTAAATACCAAATTATTAAGTGTGAAACATGCAAAATTTGCCTGTAAAACTTTGTCTATCTGGGAAGTGCGCTCACAGCTAGAAGTGGCGCTGATGAGGATGATGAAGATATCAACAAAGCAAACTCTACCAAATCAAATATAAAATCTGTGCTATTCTATGGCTGTGAAACATGGAAAGGTTCCAACCGCATTGAATCAAAAACACAGAACTTGGTGTATAGAATACTTGGTGTAAGATGACCTAAAAGAATAAGAAATGAAGACCTGTGGAGCCGCACACAGCACGAAATCGTACCAGTTTAAATTGGTTGACGCAAATGGCGATGGATTGGCCACACATTTCGAAGTTCTGCGAAACATTTAGCAAGAACAGCATTCACATGGTACCATCAAGGCTCTTGAAGACCAGCACAAACATGACGCAGAACTATAGACAGAGAACTGCATAATGCAAATATTAACTGGAATGATATATTTCACAAAGCACCTAATAGAATTCGGTTTAGATCTATAAAAGAGACCCTATGATCAACGAGGAGAAGAGGACAACACTAAGTAAGTTAGTAAATTAATGTGAAACATATAAATACATAAGCCCTATGGAAATGCATCGAATTCATGACCGGTACAAGTAGAATCTGTTACAGACTCAATCTTAAACATAATCTAACATATATCAAATTAAATAAACTAAAACTTATAATATGAAAAATATAAAATATTATTCAATATTATTATTAAATATTATTAATATATATTATTATCAAATACTATTATTAAATATTATTATTTAAATTATTAATTTATCAATTACACACAATAGCATAATATATAAATATCTATTATAATCTCACTCACCAGTTTAATTATCGGATCATCTAATTGCGAAGCATACAATTTGGTTAGATTCAAATCAATTTCATGTGCTGAACTCTCCTTGCAATCCACCAACAAAGCTATGCGATTTTTATGGAAATGCAATGCCAACGAACGAATTGTGCTCGTCTCATTTATGTTGGGAATCTCGAAATGTTTGGATTCGGTGGCGCCATTGTCGCTAATGTCAAGCGTTACGCGCTGCTGTTTACGATCGAGGAAGAAGGACATTTTGTGTTTCAGTGTGGGAAAATCGATCATGAAGAGTGCCTCAATTGATATATGCAACTTTCGCCGTGGTCTACAGAATCGTATAACACAACAGTGAACAAATTTATATGACATATGAGTGGGTCGAACTTACCGTATATGACGCATAGATATAACACAATCACCTTTCTTTATGTACTGTTCCAATTCAGCAGAGGCAACTACACAGAAAGAGTAAAAATGTCAATTAGTTCCAACAGACCATTGAAAGTCGTAAAATTGAAAGCGAAGTGTAACTTCGCAAAAAAAAAAAAAACGAAAATTTCTTCATTCAAGTGTAAATTAATTTTAAACAGAAAAACAGGTGATTAGCAAGTCATGACTTTACATTTTCCAAAACAAAAACTCAGGAGCTATTAAGAAATATAAAACTAGGAGTCAAAATGTGTATAAAGTCAATATGCTAATTATATGCTAAACAAAAGGTTCAAAGCAACACACATATAGAACGAGTTCCGGTTTATATGATTTAAGATATTATTGAGCCCGTAAAAAAACAATCAATATTTTAAATAATCCTAGCTTTAACAAAGCTTGAGAAAAATCATGATCATTAAAAATACAGGCAATACTTTAATATAAATCAATTAATTGTGAAAGTGTGATAAAACCCAATACCGAATAAGTAACACTGATTCCCAATACATAAAAAGGGAGACAAACATCTACATGCAAGTTACTGAGGTATGTCCCTGCTCAACACATACACACTTTTTACCACTGTGATGTCAGAGAGAATCAGCCGCTTCGTGGAGGTGATTGTAGAAGACGACTGTTAGTATAGCTCTCGAAAGGATAACTTAACAAAACTGAATTTAAGAGTACAGGCGAAACTTACTGTCTAAGCTCTACTTCTCACGACGTTGCCCATCTGGTATTTAAATGTACAAACAAATTTGATATATGGTTCCGTCCTATTTATGTAGCAAGAATGTGTCATTAGAATTAAGGTTAGATTCCATTTTCTCAGACAACTCTTCTGTACTTTTACTTCACACCTCATCATTTTCTTTATCCTATCCCATTCTGAATTTTTCGGTTCATTATTACTGAAATTTGATTTCCAACTGCTTCCTTACTCTTCGAATAGAATAGAAATAAACGGGGTACAAGCTACCTACTGGATCGCGGAGCACTACGACCATAGTTGATCTTTTATGCTGCCATAGACCCTAACCGAACAGAAGACATTCCACCTTTCGAATGAAAGCTAAAATGTCAGACGTTGAGGACTTCCTAATGTCAGAAGGGGAGAGTAGTTCTCGAACTAGATACCTCCTCCCGGATTAGCTCAATGCTGGACAGTCACAGAGAATGTGACAGTTATTGTCCTTCTGTTAAAAACTTGCTTTATATCACAGTGTGAACTTCAACAATAATATAAAAAACTACATTAAACAATAAAATACAAATTCTATTCTAACCTATATGTTAGACCGAATTGAATTATAAATATAAATATTTAATTATATCCAATATAAGTGGAACACTATGCATATGTCAAATTTTAATTATACTCATTTTTCAAAGACTATAAAAAGGGAGCTTAGTTTACATGAGTCATATGAATTGGTCATCCGATAATACAGTGGTTATACAGTGAATATACAAAATTTCTTTCATCTACCTCATAGACTAAGAGGCAATTACGATCGAGGAAGTAATTGTTTCGTCACATCTAACTGATTGAAATTCTGTAAGATTCTTATTATTTCTATTACTGCATCACACCTAACTAAGAGCTTACATCACCAGACTATCCGCGTGAAAGGTATAAAAAGCGAAATTTGAGAAGGTTCACCTAGTTAAATTGACAATACCATTGACAGATAGATCTGAGAGGAATAATTGGTCCTACTAATATTATAGATTTCATGTAAATCACACCTGAGACTTTTTATTTCATAAGCACTTGTGAAAATTGATAATGAAAATTATTTTTATACCTACCATAAAATAACATTATTTGCTGATTTTATCGTTAACACCGCAAACACTGTCTGTCCTACTATAAACAAAATTATCGGTAAACATTGATTCACAAATAATCCAATATTAACTGTGATCAGTCAAAAATAAAGAACAAACACAAATAGTCGTATGTGTGAGACGTCGAGACGTAACTGAGAAGGCGATAAAACTTTCCACTGCTAAAAAATAATATTAGGCAAATATTTAGAAACAAGCGAAATGCTAAGAAATATGCAAAGATACATATTTGCAGCCGATAAGGATATGTGCCGATATCGATAGAGGCAATAGCATGTTAAATGCACAATTACAAGTGTAAATATGCTCGTGCCAGAAGCGCAGAGGAGGGCACACATTTCACACACAATAAATGGAAACGCAATGAACTCAAGTGAATTGCATAAATAAAATTTTTAATGCGATCTTTCCGTAGCTGCACTTACCTGGATCCAATGACAATGACGCAACATCGCCAATTGCCAAAGCGGCTGCAACGATTACCAGATGCAACCAATTCATTTTGAATGTTATTGCTGGCTATCTGCCGTCGACGCTTGTTGCCTTTGTTGGTGTTGTTGAGATACTTGTTGTTCACAATGTCAACAATGAAGACTTTATTTTTATTTTTATTTTTATTTTCTTCTTTTTTTATTTTATTGTTTGCTGCGTACGTCCGCTGGAAAATAAATCAAACACAAGTGGTTAATGATGGCACATAAAATCGGAATGCTTACAAATCTACAAACTTATATATTAAGAAGAAAGATATTCATAAATTCTCACATACATACATTCATACATATATGTATGTATGACATACAATCCTATACCATACATGCTGGCTGTTATATAGAGTGCCGATCACATACATAAATAAATGTATAAATGTTTGCTTAACAATATTTATTCACAACTTGCAGATATAAAAATATACATTGTTTATATATTGCGAGCCCGTTAAAATGGATATAAAATTATAAAACTAAAAGACATCTTCAATGTTATAAAAGACTCATTTCTTTTATTTCTTTGTCAAAAGATAAAAATAGAATAAATGAAATGATATTTAGATAAAACAAAAATAAAACAAAAATAAAACAAAAATAAAACAAAAATAAAACAAAAATAAAACAAAAATAAAACAAAAATAAAACAAAAATAAAACAAAAATAAAACAAAAATAAAATAAAAATTTGTGAAAAATCATTGACGAAGTTGAAGTTGGTTTATTGGAGTAATATCAAAGAAATGGACCCACGAATCGAACGAAACTCATGATGATGAGTTTAAAAATATTTAAAAAATATTAATAAATTATTAGAAATATATTAAAAAAACTTTTCAAAACATTTTAAAGACATTAAAATAATATCAGCAAAAACTCTGTTCAAAGCGTTGAAGAAACTGAAAATGTCAAAATTCAAAAAATAAACAAAATTTAAAAAACAAAAAAATTTAAAAAATAAACAAAATAAAAAATAAACAAAATTAAAAAAAAAAAAAATTTAAGAAATAAACAAAATTAAAAAAAAAAAGCCAAATTTAAAACACAAAAGCCAAATTAAAAACAAAAAGCCAAGTTAAAAACAAAAACAAAATTAAACAGAAAAAAAAACAACAAAATACAAAACAAAACCAAATTACAAAAAAAACACCCAAATTACAAAAAAAAAAAACAAAATTGCAAAAAATAAATTAACAAAATTACACAAAAAAAAACAATATTTAAAAAAAAAAATTTAAAAAATAAACAAAATTAAAAAAATAGAATATTACAAGAAAAACCAAAATTTAAAACAATAACAAACTTTTAAAAAAAAAAACTAAATATATTAAAAAAACAATATTTACAAAAAAAAACATATTTTACAAAAAAAAAAAGTTTAAACAAAAACAATATTTACAAAAAAAAACAAAATTTAAAAAAAAAACACAATAAAACATGTGTAGCTAAGGCGGTAAAAGGACCAAAAATGATTAAGAATATATTGTTAATATTAAATATTAATATTAAAAAATATTAAAAAAAATTTAAAGAAATATTGATAAATTATTAAAAAAATATTAAATATAAAAAATATTAAAATATATATATAAAATATTCAAAAAATATATATTAAAAAAAGATAAAATAAATAATGACATGTTAAAAAGATATATTAAAAAAGGATATACTAATGAAAGATATATTAGAAAAAGATACATATAAAAAAAATATAATAAAAAGGATATATTAAAAAATTTATTATAAAAAAAAACAAGATACATTAAAAAAAGATAGAGATATTAAAAAACAAGATATATATTAAAAAGAAAACATATATATTAAAAAAGACATATTAAGAAGATAGATATATTTAAAAAAAACATATTAAACAACGATATATTAAAAAAGATATATTAAAAAAAGATATATTAAAAAAAGATATATTAAAAAAAGATGTATTAAAAAAAGATATATTAAAAAAAATATATTACAAAAAAATATATTAAAAAAGATATATTAAAAATTTTTTTATAAAAAAAAAAAATACATTAGAAAAAGAAAAATATATAAAAAAGAAAGTAAATATATTACAAAAAAAAAAAATTAAAATATTATTAAATTATTATTATTAAAAAAAGATATATTACAAAAAGATGTATTAAAAAAGATATATTAAAGAAGATATATTACAAAAGATATGTTAAAAATAAAAAATATTTAAAAAAAGATATCTTAAAAAAAAATGTTTTAAAAAAAGATGTCTTAAAAAAATCTTGAAAGAAAATAAATAAATCGTTAACCAATAGAGTGTAAGAGTTATTTGTACATGGAAAAATAAAAGGCACATGATAATAATTATTTCTGAAAAATGTAATACAAAGCATTTAATTATTATTTTTTGAGTTTTATTTTAAAATCTTCATATGTATACAATATTAATAATAATAAGGATAATATTAAGGATGAAAGTTGTTAGAATGATAATTATATTCTTAAATATGAGTTTAGACAACTTTTTTTTCCTGCTTTTTTTCTTAAACATTTTGAAAAATCTATACCTACAATAACATAAAAAAAAAATGCAAAATACAACAAAATAACATTAAAAAAGTAATCATAATGATCTAAAAAAATGGTGAGAAAAAAATTACTTAAGCAATATAAGATATTATATTACAAAATTATTAAACAAATTATAGAAATTACTTGATTTTCGTGAATAATTTGACAAACCAAAAATTACAATATAGTTCGCCCGATTTAGTGTTATTTTTAACTAAATTAGAAAACGCTAGATATCGTTGTAAGATAATGACTGAGAATCATCCTCATTATCATCAAATGATGTACCTATTTGTACAAAGAATTACATATTATATATGAAATTTATATATTGTATTTATTTTACTGAGAAAATAACTTATACAAGATTCTGTGTACAACTTGAAATTAAACTTCATGCATCTAAAAATCTTCATGCGACGTGGAAATACTATAACTGAAAATAGTGTTCGACTAAAGCACTTAAAACATTAATTATGGTAATATTATGGTTTATGTTACGATGGATTTATCAAAAACGGACTTGTGTGCCGAATTATTTTATATAAAATTATTGTTTGTACTTATATGTATTCTTTTTGTAAGAGGAAAATTGTTCTCGTATTAAGTCAAAATCTATCGAAAGCTGGACAGATTGAGTTGTTTCTTTTTATTTAAGAAATTGTTCACAAAATAGTAAAAAAAATACAAATTTTCCATATCCATGACTATGGTTAATATTATTTATTGAGATAATCATAATTACATTTTTTGCAGGGCATTAACTGTAGTTCATTTCTCAACACCTAAAAACTATTGTAATTATTGTAACTGTTTTAAAATTTATAATTAAAATTTTTCTTCAAATTTTTTGCCAGTCAATTTGTGCTGCATTGTATATTTGGGTTCATTCTGTCTTCACTTCAGTGCCCGAACATATAAAAACCTTAAGAGTATTTCAAGTAAGTCTTTATTTTTTGCAAGTAAAAGGCTTTCTTTACATGATAATTTAAATATTCTTTTTACTCAGCTGTGAGCATATTAAATATGAACGATTTATATTTGAGATATAATTAGATATTGGAAAAAACCAAGTGCTTGACTGCTTAGTACTTAGTAGAACTGATGACAGTTCATATATTACTTGAAAACGAAACTAAGTTCTTGGAGAAACATTTCTTGTCCATGAGTTAAGGTTATATGATTGCAATAAAAAATAAAAAACATTTTGAAAGACATTTTTAGTATCAAAATTATATGAAAGCATTTAGAATAAATAAATAAACACCACCATATCTAACATTTCCTCACATAAGTTTAACTTCCATCAAATGTTGCGTGTATTAATAGCAGACAGAAATAACTGAGAACAGAATACACCTTCATTCATTGAAGATTACCAGCTGTGGTACACGAATGACTCTCCAAAATGATGAAAGGAATGGAGAGCGAGAGTATATGGGGTTAAACCAAAAGAGAAAATATTTGCAAATATAAGTCAAGAGAACTCAGTTTTTCAGGCCGGAGTACACGCAATAAAACTATGTCTAAAGGAATATAAAGGTATAAAGGGAAACACACCATGGGAAAAAAAATATATACTATCTCTGACAACAAATCGATACTCCTAACATTAAGTTCACCTCAAGTAACTTCGAAACTAGTGTGAGAATGCCTTCTAATTCTCAAAGATCATGCTGAAAGAAACACGGTTCACTTAATATAGATCCTAGGACACAGCGACTTTGAGCGAAATGTGAAAGCCGATGAACTAGCCAGAAAAAGCGGAGCCTCATATTAAATTGGGCCACAACCATTCTGGAATTCTCCATAAAGCTTTTTCAAACTTAAAACTAATAAATGATTGGAACATGAAATTCAGACTGGGTAAATGTGATTGCTTGTAGACAAGCTAAAGAATACATACCGAATCGATCAAAAAACAGGACTAGGGAACTCTGTTTTGGAGCTCCTAGTTTCCAGAGTGTTTCACTGGACATTGTGGATTCAAAAAAATATCTGTCAAATCTACGTGTTACAAGGAACGATAGCTGAAGATTTTGTCACGAAAAAGAGGAAACAGCAAAATATATTCTGTGTCATTGTAATAGTCTCGCCAGACTCAGACTTCGGTACTTATCAACTGCTTATTCACTTATAACTAAATTTGGCAACAATTGGAGAATTAACTGCTACATGCCTATAGAACTAAAGTAGGTTTTTTACAATAATCCTTAACCCTTTTAGAATTTAAATCTAGAATAAATGCACATTAATTCTACAATTATATTAAAATGCATATAAACAGACATCCATTTAGATTTGACTAGTTTTGCTAGGATATAGCAAAAAAAAATTGTCTGATATACGGACATCAATAATGACACGTAAATCATTTCGAAACATAAGCACATGAAATTGATACTAAAGTTACCTGCAGTCTAAGTACAACCTATGGCCTGATTGCTATAACAAAGTACTGATACCTATAGCACAAGTACGAATAGCTATAGCGCGATATCGAAATACTGATGTTGTATTATAATCCACACATCAGTAAGAAGAACAACAACCGCACCTTGTGCAAAACAGAAAAATAAAAGAAATCATCCAGTTCCCGGGACGTTGTCTAAAGCCTTAAA